TTTGAGATGAGCATTTGTGGTGAATTGAAGTACTTTCTTGAACTTCAAATTACTCAGGCAGATAAGGGCGTATTTATTTCTCATAGTTCTTATGCTCACAGTTTGGTGAAGCATTTTGGTCTTGAGAACAGCAAGGTGTCCAAAACACCAATGAATACTTCCTTAAAATTTGCACGAGATGAAACTGGAGAAGATGTTGATGGAAAGTTGTACCGAGGAATGATTGGGAGCCTGTTGTACATAACTGCCAGTCGACCGGATCTCTCATTCAGTGTTGGAGTATGTGCCAAATATCAAGCCAAGCTGTCTGATGTTAGGAGTTTTCAAGGCTCCTAAGACAAATGTTGTAGTATAAGAGATTGTTGAACCAATTCTAAGGGATTTTAAAGCACTGAGAATGCAAGTACTCACTTAATCTAAGTGCAATCGAATAAATGATGGTTTTAAACTATAACTAAGAATAAGAAAAGCGATAACTAAATAACTTCCTTGATTAACAGAAAGGAGAACTCATGGGAGTAGGGATTAGATTTTGGGTGATCAAGTTTCGAACTAAGGATGGCAAATGATCAATCAAACTATCAACCTTAAGCCTAGACACAATTCTAAACAAACTCTATGTCTAGATGAATGTTCATTTACTAACACAACTCAAGCATCAAATGTCTTCGGTTGAACATTGTGAAAGAAATCATTAAGAATAAGTCTACTAGCCATCTTAACACCTTTAACAACAAGTGTCCCTGGTAAAGAATGTTAAAAGCTTAGGAGAGTTGACTCAGACATTTCATCGAACACTTTGTGAGTGGGAAATGTCTAGAGATCAACCTTTGAGTGGCTAACTCAAAAGAAGCATTAGGATTACTCTACTAGCAAGGAACAAGAATGATCTACACTAAAACAACCTAGAACTAACCTAATCACCCTTAATCTCCCTAACCCATGAATTCAATGGTGATTTACTCACTAATCATCATGATTACTCTTAAACCCATGTTAGATTCAAGCTTAATCATGTAGATGATGAAATAGAAAAGTAAACANATGATCTACACTAAAACAACCTAGAACTAACCTAATCACCCTTAATCTCCCTAACCCATGAATTCAATGGTGATTTACTCACTAATCATCATGATTACTCTTAAACCCATGTTAGATTCAAGCTTAATCATGTAGATGATGAAATAGAAAAGTAAACAAAGGTTTTTCAATTGTTTTTCTTCAAGAACAAAGATGATCTACCTGGTAGGCTACAAAGAGTCCTTAAAATTAGGTTTTTCCAACTCAAAAACATAAAAAACGAAATTGCAAAAAGGTCCTCAAAACAAGTATTTTCGTCCAAACATAAGCGCACAGCGGGGTCACAACCCCGCTGCCACAACCCCGCTGTGGGGTGTTGTCTTAGCCGAGCGGCCCCCCTGACTCCGCCCCGGGGGTCCGCTGTGGTCTGGGCCGACCCCCTGACCCCGCTGCCATGACCCCGCTCCAGGATGCCCGAACATGATGGATATGCCTCTAGTAAATTGGTCATAACTCCTTCATTACATCTTCAAACGACTTGAAACCACTTCCATTAGAAAGCTAACTCAAATTTCTGTGTCTCCACAAAATCTTAACAACATAAGATTTCTTTAAAGGCTCCATCCATGCTCATCTTTCAGCCCCTTTTGGATCACAATGCTCCTAAACATCTCAAACCACTCCATGGCACATTCCAACACCTAATAAGGACAATGAATGCAAAATGCAACCTAGACATGGATAAATCCTAATCTATATGATGAAAATGCTCATGGATGAATGGGTAAAACAATGCAAATATGCAAGATATCACTGTCACATTTGAATGCATTTAAGCGAATCATCAAGTACGTCAAAGGAACTGAAATCTTAGGTGTATACTATTCAAAGAATTCTAACAAAAACTTGGTGGGATACTGCGATGCTGATTGGACATGATGTGTTGATGATAAGAAGATCACAAGTGGAGGTTGTTTCTTTCTTGGAAACAATCTTACATCTTGGCTAAGAAAGAAACAAAATTCGGTGTCACTCTCTACGACATAAGCTGAATACATTGCCATGGGTAGCTGCTGCTCACAACTTCTCTGGATGAAACAAATGTTCATTGATTATGGAATGCACTCTGGTCCTTTCTAGTGTACTGTGACAACAAAATTGCAATTGATATCTCAAAGAATTCGGTTCAACACTTAAGGACGAAGCACATTGACATCAGGCACCATATCATCAGAGAATTAGTTGAAGACAATCACATAATAATCAAACATGTAGTTACTAACTTGCAGTTGGCTGATATATTCACTAAATCTCTTGAATTCAATCGTTTATCAAATTGAGAAATGAAATTGGGTGTGTAATCTTGACTTTTGAGTCAAGTTGTGCATAGATTAGTGCAGAGAATTCAATCTCATGTTCGCCATCAAAGAGTTGTCTTCGACTTGATTCAGACTCTGCATGTTTCTCGATCTTGGCGGATTGACTTCATTGAACTGCGTTCTTTGATTCCCCCATCTCGAAATCGGTTTCTTTGCGGATTGACTTCATTGAACTCCTTAAGTGGATCTACCTCGAGAACAGAGGTTCCTTGATGCTCATCATTTTCTTCTGACTGAGCTTTTGCTTGAGCCGTATTAAATGACTCGCTCTTCGGTAACCTCAGGTAGGGCGGAAGATGACAGCGGATTGTTTTTTGGCGGAGGTGAGTTCTATGCAGACTTGTCTGGTGGCTGAGTTCTATGCAGGTCTACCCAGCACAAAGATTGAAGATGACACATAGGAAGTAGATGTCACAATGCGCGATCACCCGTACAAGTTCTCACCTTGTGATCCATGAAACTCTAGCTCTGGCCCCATTAACTGAAGAAGAGGGAGATGCGAAACCAAATCTGGATGAAGCATCAGCTACAGAGTTGGCATAATTTCTCACTAATGGGACTCGGAAGGAGTGGGAAAATCTTACTACAGCTGATCTTACACCTTGCTATGGAGCTCTCATGATTATTTCTGTTCACAACTGGATTCCATCTACGCACAAGACGCATGTGTCTCTTGACAGAGCAAGACTGATCTACAAAATGGCTCATGGGATCCAGGTAGACATGGGAAAGATGATCTTCAAACAGATCATGAATCTTGGTATAATACAGAGGAATGGCTCTCGCTGGCTGATCTTTCCTCGTCTGATCATGGGACTTCTTCAGAAGCAGCATTAGGTTCCTACTCACAACGGTCATAAGATTGATCGTGCCATTGCCTACAAGAAGGATAAACGTGTGAGAGAAATCTATGAGCAGCGCAAGAGTAAGGGAAGCCAAGAATGAGTTGAAAGGGAGAAAGTCTGCTCGTACATCTCATCTTCCATCTCCTGCTTCACCAACTCCTACACCGAGTTCCCGAACTGAACAACACATAGTTTCTGTCTACGAGCTTGGATCAATTGATGTTCCTCACGGCCCACTCACCAGGGTAGATCTGCAATCAGCCCTGCAGGACACGAATCGGTTTCTTCAAGCATTGGCTGAGGTTGTTCAGGAGCTTCAAAACTCGGTGCCAGGTTAGTTTTCTCTCATTCTAATATTGCTTAGTATTTCCTTATGTTTTTAATCTGTGTGCTCACAAGCAGGGGGAGAAAATGAAGAATGAGATGAAGAAGGACCTAAGTTTGTGGGGGAGCAACCATGTCTCTTTTTTAACCATGTTGTTTTTATTTTAATTTCACCACTTATTGCAATTTTCTTGTTTTCAGACAATATCAGTTTATGGGAGAACTTTTGTGTGTACTATCTTTTGGCTAAGATGTATTAAAATGCTTGAACCCATGATTAGGATAATATAAGTATGTTTGTGGTTCTTTGTTGTTTTGGTCATATTAATTCTTAATGCAGAATTTGTGGTTGTAGTATTGTGTCCATTGTCCTTGTATTTCATCTCAGGTACTTGTGACATGACAAATTAAAATGGAGGATACTGAAGATGTATGGTCAAGACGGTGGTGTAGCAGAGCAGAAATAGTTCATGAAGTGCGACATGAACTACGACATGAGACACTTCAGTCGTGAGAAGCGTGTGTCAAGGTAGATGCATTAAAGAAAGATTTAATGAAGAGCCTGATAAAAAGAAGTCTTGAAGAAGAAGCAATCGATCTTAAGAGAAAAGGAAGATTGACTTATTCTCTGAAGTAAAAGAAATGGAAAGTTTCCATTAGATAGAACTTTAAGTTTAGGGTTTCCTCTTCAATATAAAAGAGGGTCTTGGCACTGTGTTGCCTGTGAACACATAGAGAGAGTCTTTAGCAATAGAGGTTTTGTACGTCTGGAGAAAGAGAGGCAAAGCGTCTAGGGATTAGGAGCTTAAGTGGTTTAGAGACTATTGTAGGTCTGTGGACGTGTAAGGCTAGTTAACAAGTCAATGTATGTCTTGGACTTAATTGAAAGATTGATTTTAGAAAGAACATGTATGTACTTTTAAAAAGATTAATCTACTAATATCTCTTGGAAATAATTATCCATGTGTTACTGTGTGTTATAGTTTATGTAGCTCGTTATCTAACATTAACAGTGGAATTGCATATACACACTCATGACCGATGTCCGTTATATAATTCAACTAAACAAAACAAAACTCCATCTTTTGTTCCAGCGACGAATTGAAACCTACTTACATTATCTACTATTAATAAAAAGGAGCATATACTCAATGGAGAGGCATGCCACGTCTTTAAAATAATCGTCCAATAGAAACATTTTGTATTGCCACGTCATATTATCTTCCTTTGATCGAGCTGTAATCTTAGTAAGCGTAGGCCCATCGTTAATAGCCCAGTAATTGTCTCAGTCTCTTCATTTTCACCACCGCCGTCACTGGTTTCTGCAACCCAACGTTTCTGTAGAGTTCCACTATCATTCAATTCATTTATCTTTTCACCTCCCTCTGTTTCTATTCTTATAAGTAAAACCCTTTTCTTTGAAGTTTTCATGGAAACACAATCGCCGACCCCTCTCCTCCAGTCCGATCAAACCAATCGGTAAAACCGGTGCCGTTTTGATCTTACAAAACGAGCTTTTAGCGACGGGTAACAGTAAAGAGAAGTTCAAGAGCGTTTTGGATCAGACAGGGAAGTGGTTCTTCAGAAGCTACCGTGATGGAGCTGGCATCGTTGAGCTTATGGATCAACTCTGTCCTCTTCCTTACTTGGCCCTCCAGGTTTAACATTTCTTCTTTTGTGTGTTTTTGATTGAAAGTTCGAATCTTGGAATCTGCCATGTTTTAAATTTGGTGTATAAGACCAGAACATGAATGAGTTAAAACCGTAATGTTATAGATTAGATTGATCCAGGTATCTAAGTATTTGATTTTTTATGTCAGTGTCCTGAGTTTGTTTACTGTTATATTCCCTCTAAATTCTCCAGTCAATCTATTCTTCTCTATTCTTCTGCTTCGTCTTCTCTCAACTCTTCTCTCTCAATATTTTCATCCAACTTCAGATATACTCCAGTCAATCTATTCTTATTTCTCTCCTTATCTTCACAAGAAAACGCCTGTTTAATTTTTTCCCTGCCCTAGAGTCATCTTATTTGACTTCAATCTGATACTCATAAATCAAGCTTCTTGCAATACGTTATAATTGACTTTTCATCTCACAAATCCTGTTCTTTTAATTTCAGATTGGATTTTGTTTTTGGTTGGATGGGATAATGAGAGCTACATATAGAGAACCAAGAAAAAGTTACAGAGAGATTTAGGAGATCTAATTGATGTTCTCTGGTACATTATAATTGACTTTTGCATTCACCAACATAAGCACATCTGTGGTTCTCTCACAAATCCTATTCTTTTATTTGCAGATTGGAATTTTTTTTTGGTTGGATAGGAGAACGAGAGCTATATAAAGAGAACCAAAAAAGTTATAGAGAGATTTAGGCAAATTTCTAATTGATGTTCTCTGTGATGATTTCATGGTAAAAGATCTCTAATTCAAGAGTAGTAAGATTAAAGACTTTTGTTTTGTGTTATAAAATATTTATTCACAGAAAATCGTGATTTAGTGCAGTGTGGTCTAGCAGAGGCAGACGCAAGGTCTTGAATGCCAAAAATAAAAGCATCGAGGAAGTAAGGCTTGCGTACCAATGTACGTGTTATTGACTGAGCTCGCTTTCATATAAACATGATGGCGGTTTTTATCATCTACTTAGTGTCTACCAAAACCAATATGGAGGTGTTGTGAGAGGTGGTTACTTAAGGCAGAGGCCAAGCTGGTGGTGGAAAAGGAAATAAAGGTGGCCCAGCTAGAGATTGTCGTGCCTAAAAGTGGGATTTAAAAATGGAATAAAAAGCTCTAACACTGTATTAGGAAGAACGTGTAGATAACAATGGCTGAAGGTTTTCTACAGTTATGATTCATCAGGTGAACATGCTCCTATCTCTCCAGGACCAGCCGGAGCTAAAGCCATTGTTACTCAGACTTGCGCACTGATCTTTTCTGCAATTCAGTGGCTATGTGATAGGTGCCTCTGCTTGAGTCAGAGTTTAGAGTTTGCAAAGAGTGTACTATAGGTGAACACAGACCTGTTGTTTTCTTATGCGAGGAAGATGAGAACGATTCCATCTCCACAGTGGCTTAACTCTTTCCACATTCAAGATGGTGTGGTTACGGTTCTTTATTCTCTCGAAACTGAGTTGTTAGTTGTTTATATAATGTATACTGTGGCCTAAGGTTAGTTTTATGATGTGCAAAATCACTAGGCAGTTATTAGAAGTCTTCGATAAGAAAAGGCATCAATCAAGACACTTTACAGAGACGAAAATAAGAAACACTGGATCATAAATAAGTTTTTTGAGATAAAAGAAATGGGTTAGACGGTTAGTCTGAGATAATGCAAATTGTAGCAGCCACTTGCTTCTGTCTTTGATGGTAGACAAATAAAATACCTTTTTTACTACTCATAATAAGTTCCAACCAAAACGAAACTTTTTGGAGAATTAAAACTATAATTACAATGCTTACGCAGACGAAAATAGCTGACATTGAAAAGACACAATAAAGATTGGTTCGGTTCCGTACAAGATTGAGAAGCATGTGAATGTTTTCATCCAATAAATTGAAAACCTAAGTTCCAAACAATTAACGAAGGAAATTACCTTTTTAAAGTTTTTTTTTTTGAGTAATAAAGTTGAATCCGTGTTTATAGAAAAAAAAACACTCTTACATACTGACTTTCATCCAAATAGCACCTTCCATACTATCTCTGTGATAACTAAGTACTTGAAATTTATGAGTTAAAAAAACCTCTAGCTAAAGGCCAATACGAAATAATTAATGTTTGAAAACCACATTGCAGGGGATTAGGAAGAAGACAACAACATGACGAAAATGGCCACTCCCGCCACACTAGCCCTTCAATTCTCATGTACCACTATTTTTGTTTTAAGAGAACCTTGACCTCCAAGAATAGATTATATCAACAAAAAGATACCCAGAAGTATCTTTTCATTTAATCTTCGTAATAACAGATTGTTTAAAAAAAAATGAGTTTCGATACTGGTCTAATTTAGTTATAACTAAAATGAAGTGTTTTGCCCGCACATGCATGCATAATAATTGTGCAAATATTTTAAAGTAAGTCCATTATCAGTTGAAATAAAACAAAATAAATTAATTTTCATACATTCAAAATATTTAATAATAATTAAATAATAAGCTCTATATATACAGAAAAACTAAATAATCTTTATCATGTGACATAAACCAAATGAAATATTAAGTTTTTTTTTTACATATGACAAAGTTTGTCAATATAATAAAATTATCTTTTATTGCGTAAAATAAATTTAAAAATATTAATATATGCATTAAGATTAAATATAATATGTATAGAGATTTATTTTTTATAATTTAAAACTTTTTTTTAGAAAATTTAATGTAAATATCTTTTGAATAACACAACTTAAATTTATACGATGATGGTTATTAAATAAATGAAATTTATTTTTAAATTATGGTTAATTATATATTATCAAATATAATGTTCATTAATGTAATAAAGACTGTAACATAATATAAATTATTTTAAATAATGATAATTATCAAATCATTGAAATTCATTTTTAATTAATGACCAATTATATATTAAATTAATTTTGTTTTATGGTTAATTAATAAAAAATATTTTTAGATAATGATAATCATCTAATCAATAAAATTTGTTTTTAATTAAGGTTAATTATATAAATCATGGCTCAAACAAATATTTAGATCAATACCAACAACATTTTATTTCTAATGACAAATGATTCTAATGTGGTAGACCTCTCCTAGACTCAATTTGAAGGACTAGAATAATAAATTAACAAAAGAGACAATAGAAACAGTGAAACAAACTTTTAATCAAACAAATTTTTACTCATGGAGTTGAACATGGCTGAGATAGATGACAATTGGGAAGTTGGACAAGGAACTTGCTATCATGACATAACTGTTTCCAAATATGAATTAAATTTATAATCCAGCTGGACCGGTACTACCATTGACAATGTCAAGTAAATGTTAGGTTTGGTATTCAAAACATTGATGGCAAAAGATAAATTAATATCATCCAGTTTATTAATAAATAGAATAAATAAACATTATTCCTAACACCAAAATATATACAATCTCAAATTTATATAATATCATTTTAAATTTCAATAAAAGTCAACTCAATTTATATACTTATTTTTCAAAATTTGATAGTGATTATTTTCTACCAACATTTTGAAGATAGAAAATATAAAATTACAGATTAAAATATTAGTGTAATTATTATGTAAGTTATTTATACCAAAATTAAAATGAGAGTTCTATTAAAAAAACTAAAAAAATCTATATTTTATAAAAAAATTGTACATTATTAGTATTACTTATGAAATTCTTACTTACATTAACTACACTGATTTTATCAATCGTTATCTTTTTCTATTTAATTGAACATTATATTTCTTCTGATTTTTTTTTTATTTATTTTTTTTTTTTTTGACAACGAACGGCTGATCTATTACTCAAGCTTGAGGTGGTCTGGAAATCCAGACCGAAATAGAACAACCAACAAACATGAGTTCCCGATAAAAGGATCGGGCAGTTTTAGCTAGGTGATCGGACACAACATTTAAAGATCGACGTACATAAGATATCTTAAAATCTGGGAAGCAAATCCTCAGCGTCGAGATCCTCTCTAATTCCGTTGAAAAGCTTGGCCATCCATGGGGATCCTTGAGCATTGCTAACAATTCCTTGCAATCCGTCCCAAAGCTCTGACATGGCGAATGTTGAAGCATGTTCTCCATTGCCCACCGCAGCGCTTCCAGCTCCGAATGCAACGCCGACTCCATTCTACTCACATTCCGCATCCCCATTAACTGGCTTCCACCCATGCTATCCTTCCAATCCCAACCACAGCCATAAAATTGATCGACAGAGGTCCAAGAACCATCTATAATGCAAATATCACCTAGGCTTATGTCCTGCGGGTCTGTATTACCATCCTCTTGTGTAGCCTCAACCCCCTGCTCATTTGCTTGGAACCAGGCAAGACACTCGCTCTCAGCATATCGTGTCAACTCCAACGGGTCTCTATCTATTCCTCTGAACAACTTGTCATTCCGAGCCTTCCAAATGTACCATATTAGCCAAGGATAAGGATCCTTGTCTAGATCTGGCCCACATATGGCTTTCTTCCGCCAGAATAGATAATCCATATTCGCATATGTGCTTTCCAAGGGAAACAAAGCCGGGCTGGAGGGTATAGATGATAAGGCCCATACCTGTAAAGCCGGTGGGCATTGGAAAATTGCATGTGCAATTGTTTCATCCGGTTCACCGCACCGTGGGCAGAAGTTATCACATCTCATATGTCTATGATTCAAAGCGCTCGTAACCGCCACCTGTCCCGAAATGATCTGCCACATAAGATGGCACATCTTCGGGGCTGCCTTAACTTTCCAAACTTGTGCTTGAAGCCTTTTAAAGCTAGGTTCATCTACCAAATTCTCCTCCTCTTTCATCAGTACATTACGAGCTACCCAATAGCCGGACTTGACTGTGTATTGCCCACTCCTAGTGTGACTCCAGCAGAATGTATCTCTACGATGGGTTGAACTGATTGCCATACTCCTTATGAGAGATATATCATCAGTGTCAACATATAGTGCTAGCCGATCCAGGTCCCAGGACTTTGATCCTTGATTGATAAGATCGCTTACTCTCATATTTGGGTGCAACACCGGAGCTGATGCATGCGCTGATCTTGCGGGGATTGTGGGAATCCACGGATCCTCCCATACCTTAACTTCATACCCTGAATGGATTTTGTGTCTAATCCCCAATAGCAATAACTCCCGTGCAGCCGAAATGCTTGTCCACACATACGAAGGACTACTGACAGTGTGTTTTCGCAAAGGCGAACTTTGTCTATAATATCTCCCTCTCATAACACGAGCAACTAGTGAATCCGGATTTTGTGCCAGCCTCCATAGCTGCTTACCTAGAAATGCCAGGTTAAACTCATGTATCATCCTGAATCCAATTCTACCTTCCTCCTTGGGCTTACACAACTTGTCCCATGTTGTCCAGTGTAGGTTTAATGATACAATATATCATATATATAAACAATATGATTGGAAAATTTGTTTAATAGACTAGCCGCGCGTAGCGCGGCCAAAGGATCTAGTCATTTATAAATACACGGCTATCTTCTCTCCAACAATACATACTTTTAAAATTTTTGAGCCAAAAATCACTATAAGGTCAGTCGATGGAACAATCACAACGTTACACCCCATATCAAATATGGAAACTACATTGCCGTCCAACTCTTCAAATGTCTTTTACTTTCGACTGTTCATATATCAATCATGATTTTTTTTTTGAAGATATCTGATTCTAGTCATTTGACTTATATATAATTTTAAAACATGTTGATTTGGTGAATAAACCAAAAAGATATACTTATGATCGTTAAAGTAAAACTGAACATAGAACTCATCCAATATCCGAAAATGGGGGTAGCTCATCATCGTTAAACTCTTTCTCTAAATGACATATTGTTGAGAGAATGCTATGTACAGTATAACCTCTTTAAATAATATACACTAATTTTTTTTATAAAATAATATAATTTTATAGTCCTAAATTGAGTTTTTGATTTAATTAGTATATCAATAAATAATATCTATAAATTAATAAAAATATAGTTTTGGTGTAGTCCCATCATTATTAATTTACAGAGGTTTCACTGTATATATAAAACCGGCTCTGGACTGCTAAGAGAAACATTGGCAACACACCTCCAAATGTTTTCAAAAAGTTACATAAACAAAAATCCCCAAAAAAAAATTTAAGCCTCCAAATTTATAAAACAAAAATTAGGTAAAATCTTTAGAAAACTGTCCAGAACTCTCAAAATTTCAGGACCAGTCCTCTATATATATCTAGGTAGGAAAACACCCACATTGCTTAAATAAAAACATTCAGATGTTTTACCATTATGTTCCAGGAGCAGTTAGCTTTGAAATTTAGACCATTTAAATTATCTTGTAGAGTAATTATGTAGATCTTAATTCTGAACCGTTTGGTCTTTTGTCTGCTTTG